TCACGAGGCGATGGAACTTGAGCCACCTAGAAAGGGTGTGGTGTGTGAAGCGGACAAGGCGGAGGAAAGCTACGCGCATGAGCGCGTTAATGAGTGCTGGGAGACCAGAAATGGTGCTAGTCCTAATTGGGAGGCGGTGGATGAGCTTCGTTGACTCTTCACATCGTGGGGACACCTGCTTTCTTGCATCATAGACAACTGAGCGTCAGTTTGGCTTTTCTATTATTTTTTCTCTGGCGTGTTTTACGTTCTTACCCTATAACTTTCGTTGGTCAACACTTTGTTGGCGCAGTATCTTATCCAAGATCTTTTTGGATGGTTTCGCCTTTCGTCGCAAGTTACCCTATTTCAGTCCTTTACGAGAACCCCTCTACGATCTTTCAACTCTTACGATAAATAACCTGCTCAATTCCTCCCTTGACCCTTTTGTCATCGATCCCACCCAATCTTCACCATGGGTGTCCCAAAGTTCTTCCGCTGGTTAAGTGAGCGGTATCCGTCAATCTCGATGCTGATCGCAGAGAGCCGGATACCCGAATTCGATAGCCTATACCTTGACATGAACGGCATTATTCACAACTGTACCCATAGCGACAGCGATTCCCCAACGTTTCGCATGACGGAAGATCAAATGTTCATCGCGATCTTCAATTACATCGAACATCTATTTGGCAAGATCAAGCCCAAGAAATTGTTCTATATGGCAGTAGACGGTGTTGCGCCTCGCGCTAAGATGAACCAACAACGTGCTCGCCGATTCCGGACGGCGCTGGATGCGGAGACCGCGAAGGAGAAGGCCATCCAGCAGGGCCTGGAGATGCCAAAGGAAGATGCTTTTGACAGCAACTGCATCACCCCCGGTACCGAGTTCATGCAAAAATTGACGAAACAACTCAAATACTTCATCAACAAGAAGATTTCGGAAGATACAGATTGGCAAGGTGTGGAAATTGTGCTTTCTGGCCATGAGGTTCCAGGAGAAGGCGAACACAAGATTATGGAATACATTCGCTGCTCGAAAGCGCAGCCCGACTATGAATCTAACGTTCGCCATTGTCTTTATGGCCTGGATGCCGATCTGATCATGCTGGGTCTTCTCAGCCATGACCCTCACTTTTGCCTTCTTCGAGAGGAGGTGACCTTTGGTCGGCAAGTATCCAAGAAGTCCAAGGAACTGGAACACCAAAACTTTTATTTGTTGCATCTGACCGTGGTTCGGGAGTATTTGGAGTTAGAATTCCAAGAGCTGAAAGAAGAAGGCGTTCTGGGTTTCCCGTTCGATATGGAGCGTGTCATTGATGATTTCATTCTCATGGCCTTTTTCGTCGGCAACGATTTCTTGCCCAACCTGCCAAATCTACATATCAACGAGGGGGCCCTTGCCCTCATGTTCAAGCTCTACAAGGAAGTGCTGCCAAAGATGGGCGGCTACATCAACGAGCAGGGTGTTATCAATGTGCAACGATTGGGCATGCTTGTGACCGCACTTAGCTCCGTGGAATACCGATTCTTTGAGGCGGAAAACTCCGATGCTCAATGGATCAAATCAAAGAAAGACTCCAACATTGATAGTTCGAGCTCGCAACAGAAGAAAGAGCTCACGCTCACACCTTCTCAGAAGGATATTCTTAAAACGGTCAAGAAGTACGTTCTGAACCGGTCCGATAAGGCTTCTGAGCCTCTTGACCTCCCTCCTACACTCCCAGCTCGTGACCGCACTTTCGTCGAACAGCTTGCGGATGATCTCCGGCTGTCTTGGTCCTCCCCCGAGAACGAGAATGGTGATCGTTTCATGAGGCTCTCGCTGCCTCCGACCCAGGGTGATAGTGATGACGATGAAGAGGACGAGGAGGCATCGATGGCTGTTCAGCGTATTATTCGGAAGTACGAGAAGGCCAAAGTCCAGGACATGACGCCCGAGGAAGCGCAGAAGGCCGCGCAGGAGAAATATGACGCCAAGTTCCGAGAGTGGAAAGATAATTATTACCGAACCAAGTTCGGTTGGGGTCTCGACAACAAGGAAGAGATGAAGAAGTTGGCGGAAAACTATGTGCAAGGACTGCAGTGGGTCTTGTTTTATTATTATCGTGGCATTGCATCGTGGCCTTGGTTCTTCCAGTACCACTATGCCCCTATGATCTCTGGTTAGTAGTACCAAATCCTTTTTTTTTTTTTTTGGATTATTTTGATTGCTAACGGTGTAACAGATGTGAATGATGGCCTTGGTGCTGACATGGACTTCAAACTGGGACAGCCTTTCCGGCCTTTCGACCAGCTCATGGGCGTTTTGCCCGACCGCAGCAAGAAGATTGTGCCTACTGCTTACTGGGACCTGATGACTTCACCTGATTCCCCCATCTACGATTTCTACCCTCGTGATTTCGACCTCGATATGAACGGGAAAAAGATGGAATGGGAAGCCGTTGTCAAGATCCCATTCATCGACGAAAAGCGGCTATTGTCCGCCCTTAAAACGAAAGAAAATCTACTTTCCGCGGACGAAAAAGCAAGGAACGACTTTGGGGCTTGTCTCAAATTCACCTATTCCCCAGATGTGAACTTCGTTTACCCCTCCTCAATGCCTGGCGTATTCCCAGATCTTCCTAGTTGCCGTTGCATTGAGAACATCTTTGACCTTCCCGTCATGGATGGTTTGGAGCCCTACGCTGGCTTAATGGACGGCGTGCACCTAGGCGAGGCAGCGCTTGCTGGCTTCCCTAGCATTAAGACACTTCCCCACCATGGCCAATTGGGTTTCCATGGCGTTTGTGTCTTCAATCAAGACAGCCGTAACGAGAGCCAGGTCATTACGCTTCTTGATCCGGGAAGCCGGTCGAGCATTGAACTAGCTAAGACGAAGCTTGGGAAGCGTGTCCACGTGGGCTATCCATTCTTGCAAGAAGCTCTTGTGGTTCGCGTCTCGGACGAGTTGTTTGATTACATTCTCCCTCCCGGAGAAGCACACCCCGTATCTATTCCCCATACGCCCCAGCAAATCGAGCAGTGGAAGAGGAAGGCCAATAAGATCGAGGGCACCTACAGCAAACGTCTTGCAATTATCATTGGCGATGTCGAATCTCTGGTCCACATTCAACTGCTGAAAGGCATGAGTAAGACAGATGACGGAGCTACAATCAAGGAATTCGCTGATATACCTGGTCAAGAGACGGACTATGCTCTGCAGGTTGTTGTTGATGATGTGATCAATCCTGACCAACGTTTCATTGAGCGGGCAGCTCTCTCTATCCAAGAAGAATTCCCAGAGGGATCTCGTGCCTTCTTTTTAGGTGACTTCAACTATGGAAGACCTGTATATGTTAGCGGACACGAGGATGGAAAGGTGAATGGATTAGTCGCGGCCGTGAAAGGTCGGGAGCCAGAATTCGGTCGAGAGCGCGTTAGAGCATCTGAGCATCTTTGCCCTTATATGCCTTCATACGCTGTTGCGCGCAGTCTTCGCCTCAATCCTTTGGTACTGGCTAAGATCACCTCTTCCTTTACTGTTGACATCGAGGGCCAACGTGCGAACCTCGGTCTTAACCTGAAATTCCAGGCAAAGCAACAGAAGGTTCTTGGGTACTCTCGTCGGGGGGAATCCGGCTGGGAATTTAGCCAAAAGGCAGTGGAACTGATTCAACAGTACATGATCAATTTCCCGGAATTCATTGCTGGCATCCAGCGCAACCCTCAAAGCGACCGTTATTCTCCGACCGATTTCTATCCCGAGGAAATTGCCGCCGCCAAGATGAAGGAGATTAAGGATTGGCTCAAATCTATAGAAGCTAAGAACTTTGAGAGAGTGCCCCTCGATGCTGAGCAGCTTGACTCGGATATTGTGATGATGATTGAAAAGGATGCCGATGCTCTCAATGCTTCCCTACCAGATATGCAACCCAAGAAGGTTCGGGGTGTACCTCGTAGTGCCCTTCTTCGGCCTGCCGATGTCGAGCACCGTCTCGGAAACCAAAGCTTCAGGCTTGGCGATCGGGTTGTGTATGCCCAGGATTCTGGCAAAGTGCCCATCGCTACTCGTGGCACTGTTGTCGGTCTCACCAGAACCGCGCGAGCACTCTTGCTTGATGTTGTCTTTGACGTCTCGTTCATGAGCGGCACTACATTAGGGGGTCGGTGCTCACCATTCCGTGGCCAAACTGTTCTGGCGTCTTCCCTTCTAAATATCTCCAACCGTCAACTTATCACCAGCTCCCGGGCTACAGCTAGCCAGCAAACTCAGCAGGCAAAGACTCCTTTGACAGTCGCCGGATATGGCGCCCCCATGGGACCTCACGGACAGGGACAACTAAGGAACGCACCTGCCCCTGCACCCCTGAGAGGCTCTTTCCGAGGAGCTGTCGCCGGACAGGCCAATGGAGCTGGGCGCGGAGGTCGCGGAGGTTTCAATGGCCAGCAGACTACTCTTCCCTTCCGCCCCCACACCAATGGTGGCGGTGTTTCCCGTGGCCCCCGTGGAGGTGGCCGTGGAGGTGGCCGGGGCGGATATGTTGCGATGGATAACAGCGACCCCAGCGAGGGTGTCATCCAAAACAACCCTGACTTCCGCCCCCAGAACTACTCTCACGTTCCTCCACCGCAAGGATTGGATCGAGGACGTGGCCGTGGCCGCGGTCGTGGAAATGGGTACCGTGGACGAGGAGGTCGTGGGCGCGGTGCGCCCCAGGCCAACCCCCAGTGAATGACTGACGTGTCATTTGAAAGAGAAGAAATGAGAAATGACTGGGTTTAAACCCTGTATGTATATGGACGCTTTAGATATCCGCGCCCTGCCTATGCGTTTATGCCTAGGCAGTGCTTATATCTATTGAAGATGAATGTACGATGGAAGTGAAACCCAACTCCGATTCTTGTATTTCCCAGTCTGAGGTCTTTTCAAAACAAGAAAGAACCGGTGCTAGATAAAATAAGGATGGCATTGCGCATCGGCCTCTGTTGGCCCTAAATAGTAACATTCTCTGAAAATCTCCGAAAATCTCACCCTCTACTCAAAGTTCCATGGGCCTCTTCCGAAACAGCATCTCAGTGCTCATGCTAGGAAGGATATGCTCCCCAACTACAAGATTGGCGGGTCTCTTTCCACCCAGATCTTTCACAAACTTAAACTCATAGTCTAGGATGAGACGGCTCAAAATCGCCTTTAGAGTATTCGCCGCAAAGAATCGACCAGGACACGCCTGGAGCCCGAATCCGAAATGCATGTTTGAATTGGTGATAGAAACGAAATGAGCGGAAGAGATCGGCTTCTCACCAGCACCATTCAGCATACCAGGCCCAGCGAGCCCAGGAGTGAGGACAAAACGGTCCTGAGGGTTATGGCACCAACGAAAGCCGTCGAAAGCAATTGGGTTTTTCAGGAAGGCATCATCCTTGCTAATCGGACCGGCAGCGAAACAGATGTGTGTTTCAACTGGAAGAACGAGACCGTCATGGAGGGTGATGGGTTCTTTGACGATGCGGTGGAAGTTCACTAGACAAGGTTAGACTGCCGATTATACGTATAAAAGATCCACACTCACATTCACCAGGCGGAGCGAAGCGCTGAGACTCGCGCAAGAAACTGTCCAAACGTGATTGCTCCTTCAGCGCACCCTGAGTCGCCTTATACCATCCATCAGGTAGAGTCCGGCTCATTTCTTCGCGCAGGGGTGCAAGGTATTCGGGTCTAGTAACCAAATCGTAGAGACAGTGACACAGAGCCATGGTGCTGGTGTGAGTAACAGCCAGTGTGACCAAGAGCAGCATGTGATGCGCCAGGGTATCCGGTCCGAGATTCTCGTTCTTTTCGTCACTCAGATCCATCATCCACTGCAAGAAGTCGTTTGGTTTAGTGTAGTTGGGGTCTTTAGCCTGCTGTGCCAGTCTGCGTTCGTGGATCATCGGAATAAAGAGGTTTTTGGCGAAACGTAACTGTTTCTTCATCTTCCGGACGCTGGGAAGGAACGGCGCTACGAGTGGGCGGAGGTATTTGGGGACTGGACGGAGGAGGAGAATTGTGATTCCCACGTTCACGGCGTAGTTGCTTGCGACGTTGAGCCATTCTTCGTTTTCGCGGAGGATGTCGCCAGCCATCATGCGGGATGTTGAGAGAGCAATAAGCCGGGTGAACAGCTCGCCTGGGTTGATTCGAATCCAGGTGTCTGTGTTCAGTAACCCTGTCAGTATCCGATTGATCTGGTTGGTCCCACGAATTATGTTCGTATATCCCACCTTCGCATCCTGGGAGAGTGGCATCAAATGCTGCTCGTAGCTCGTCGATGACACCGGGGACGACTTGAGCTATTTGATATTAATTGTCTAGTTTTTGTATGAAGGTGAAAATAAGAAAATCAAAAGTACCTAGATTTGGAGTTAACTTTTTCCGCACGGTCAGAGCAGGTAAAAGAGTATCGATGATGATGTTGGTATATTGACCCAACGCGTTCTGTTAAGTATATCAGCTCCAACCTCGCAAGGTAACGTAGTACAATAGAGCTCATGGGATTACTTCATATTGGGCATGTAGCGAGCTGAGTTTTGAAGGAGGAAGATGTCTCAGTTCATCTTGGTATTTCACTGGCAAGACGATGACTTCTCCGTCGCTGGTGAGTAGACGAAATGGACTGTCCTTGTACTAAAGGTTATGTCAATATGGCTGAATGAGTGATTTCAAGTATACTGACCTTTTTGTATCCTTCACTGATCATTGAGGCAGCTTTGGGGTAGTAGATCAAGCGATTGATGAAGTCCGGTAGGTACGCGCTGTACCTGACAGTTGGGATATGCTTCAAGCTGGAAGCTGGTGGTCGTTGGAGTAGGTAGAGCACTACAGCCAATACCCCAACTAGGGGCCAAGAGGCTAGGCCAGCCATCTCGAAGCTTGATGAAAACTTTTTGACTGTAGGGGAAAGGTACTTAGATAAATGATTCTCCGGAGACTTGGATTGTCCGGGATATTGGGACCGGGGAGATTAAGGGAGTTGTGTGGTGGGAAAAGGTAAGAAAGGTAAAGAGAGGGTGGCACAGGAATAAATCGGATAGTAAGTAAGAAGTAAGACCTTTTTAAAGAGCGTTTGCTGGACAAAGGGTCCGTTTGAAGTAGGAAACTTGGAGTATATTATTCACACAAGGCCACAATGACCTCTGCCTATTTCCCTTTTTGGTTGCAATATACAAAACGCCTGGCTCAGATGCAAGTAGACATACAACGAAGAAACCCCCAAAATCATTCAAAGCCAACCCAATCACCTTCTCCATCGTCAGCATCAACCATCTGATCATCAACCTCGGCATCCTCGGTTTCCATAGCCAACAAGGCACTGCTAGTTTTCTTGTCCCCAAGAATAGGCTTTGAGAGTAGGTAGTTGAGATCGTAAAGATTCTTTTCTGTCAACCGCTTCAGATTTTCGCGGATGTCATCGACAGCACGCTGAACGGCACGAAGCTCGGTTGCGAATGTACCTGTGTTATCCTTGAAGTAACGACCATGGCTGCTGAACAAAGACTCAATCCACATGAGGTTGAACTCAAGATGGGGTGTTTCTTCGGCGGCATGTGCAACGAATCGGAGAAGACGAGGTAAATAGACGGAGGGCACGGACCGAACCACATGGGGAATATCTGACGGAGGGATCGCTTCATAAACAACACGGAGTAGCTTTTGTTCATTCAATCGGAACGCCATGATAAGAGCTTTGAGGAAGGTGTTTTCCTCATCCACAGTGTTGGATGTGGCGGCTTCCTTGGCAGCATCTAGTGTGGCAAGGATGCTTGACGGTGTGATTGTGATGTCTAGATCATAGGGATCAAAGATGAAGTCGGTATCCAAGCTGTAGACAAGGAGTCCTTCTGTAGAGGCGGCACAGAATGATCGTCCAGTTGGTGCGAAATCAACAGATGTCACGCGAACTTCAGGGCGTGTAGTGCGCGCACCCGCATCACCGCGTCTTGCGCCAGGAAGAGTGCTATCGACACGATCGTCATGATCAGATGCTTCACCGGTCTCATCAATAAGAGCACGGGGACCAGCTTCAGTCATGTCACGACTGTTCAGGATCTCCTGGGTGCCATCGATCGAGGTGTTAACAGAGACAGTAAACTTCTTAATCAATGAACCTGTTCCGACATCATACAAGCAGATATACTTGCTGTTTCCACCGGCCAGAATGCAGCTACCGTCTGCGCTGTATGTGATTCGGTTGAAAGATTTGGTGCCTGCGGCATTGGCAGCAGTACGGCGTTCGGACACTCGGCGTCCTCCAGAGACGTCACGGCGACCGTCAACTCCTCCTTGCTGCACAGCATCTTCAACTGACCAGAAGGAAAGTTGGCCGTCCAAAGTAGATGCGGCGACTTGTTGCCCATCTGGGCGGAAAGCCACACTGAGAATGTCTGACATGAGCTGGAGAGGTTCACTGGTCTGTGATCGGCCGAAGATGCTCCAAATGCGAACTGTGTGATCCCAGCTTCCACTGACAAGGTGGTTGCCATCGGCAGCGAAAGCAAGACTGGAAACCGGGCCCTCGTGGCCGGAGAGCTGGTCAAGCAATTGACCGGTCTGCACAGACCATACGTGAATGTCGAAGGAGTCCGGTGAACCAGCACAGATTACTTCTCCACTGGGGTCCACGGCCAACGAGGAGAATGACTGGCGGGACGGGGCAGTGAAGGTTCTGAAGTTACGGTAGCGAATAAGATCCCAAGCACGGACAGAGCCGTCCAAAGATGCTGTGAACAACACATTTCCCTTCTTCGCAAATTGACATGCGGTCACTCCACTGGTGTGTTCCGTAAAAGTGACAATGCAGAAGCCTGATTTAACATCCCAAACCTTGATTTTGCCGTCATCGGCAGCTGTAACAATTCTCTGACCATCCGGTGAATATGCGAGGGCGTTCATAGAGTCAAGGTGCCCTTGTTGTTTGAGGATATATGACTCGGACTGCCATTCCCACACCAGCAGTTGACCGTGCTTGGATGATCCGAATGCTAGCCACTCGCCTGATTTGTTGATTGTGACAACATCAATGTTGCTCTGGGAGACACTAGAGGGGGGGATGTTAGCCATTGCGAAAGGAGGGTGTTACAGATGATGTACCTCAGTTGATGGATCATATTGAACTCTGGCAGGTCGTAGAGCCCGAATAGACCGTTCGAAAAGCCTACCACCAAAAGGTTTGTCGGCGCATGGAACGCAGCACAGTTAACTTTGGCGTCGTTCTGCATGAAGAAATCCTTTTTGACGATCCTCCATCGGGCATCGGAAATGTCTTCCATTGTTTCCTCGTCTTTTTTCGTGACATATTCCCAGCGGAAGAGTGCGCCATCTTGGCTGACAGTGTAAATCTATGGATAGAATTAGTAAAGTATTTCCAGTTGAGGCAATTTCTAGAAGCACCTACCACTTCTTGTGTCGCATTGAAATAGGCAGCCACCACACCCTGTCTGTGCCCGGCCAAAGTGGTGGGCTCGAAACCTTCCTCCGGATCCATGCTCCATACTCGCGCCGTCAAATCCTTAGCGGCAGTGAGCAAGAAGCGCGAATCGCTTGACCATTCGACACTCTCAATGTTGTCAAAGTGGGCAGCAAGATCTCGGTGTAGAACGAACGGGGCAAATTCAATCTCGCCATTAGTTTCGGTGCCGGGGGTAGAGGGAGTTTGCCAAATTTGCAGGCGTCGTCCTACACCAACGGCGAAGTGTCGGCCGGACGGGGAGAACTTGAGCGCGGACACTCGTCCTTTGAAGGAGAAGTGGTGAATGGCGATGCGGCGGTGGAAATTGGTCAAAATTGCGCGGCCATTTTCATCCACAGTCAACAGAAGATTACCCTTGGGCGAAAGATCGAGACGGTCGATGTTTGTACGGTGCGAAAAAGGCAAGGTATAGGAAGTATTTCTATAGGATCAATTGTGAGTGGGCTGGTTTCCAAACGAAATAATATACCGCGGGGCGACACATACTGTACTAGATCAAAAACCGAGACTCGATTGCCTACTGGCGAAAGCAAGCATGTGCCATCGGGAGTAAAGAGAAGATTTCCTTTGCGATATACCGTCCCCAAAAGGTTGGAGAACTAAAATTTAGATTGTTAGCATCAATCTTGATAGCCGAGGCTCGCTTGCAATTGTATGCAATCAATAATCCAAACGTGGTACATACCTTGAAGTCTGTCTTCATTTTGACTGTCGGCGATCTCAAAGATCAAAAAATTAGAGATAATTCAACCAGCTACCGTGATAAGAACCATCGGATCATCTATGCTCCATTTCCGGACCTAATTAGTACTAGTATGCCACGCTAAACCCAGATAGGCAAGGTGAGGTATACTCCAGAAAACGAAAGGAGATTCAGGGGGAAGCAGCGACGGGCAGTTCGAGAGATCCGATTTCACATTCGTTCCTCCTTTTCCCTTTTTTTCTACTCAGGAGTCGACCTATTATCTCTCCTCAATACTGGTCTGATTTTACTCAGGGACCTTCTTCTTCATCTTCTTTTTTTGTGTTGCATTCCGAATTGTTTTTAATCCCCCCCTATAACCCACCATGTCGACCTCAGAGACCGCCTCGCCCATTGGCATTGCCAACGTAAGCTATTCGGAACCCCAGCATCTCCCTTATGTTTTCTTGAAGCTAACTTGCCATCCTTAATGTAGCTCCCCAACCAGCGGTGTGTACCTTTCAAATGATTAACGGTGGGGGAAATATCTAATCAAGCTTGTATAGTCACAAGATTGTCGCGAAGCGGGGTGCAGCTTTCACTATTATGGTGTGTTCTACAGTTTGAAGGAAATACTGCGCGCGTATTGATGCTAATGGTGCATCGATCAGGTTGCCGGAGAGTCGGGATTGGGAAAGACGACCTTCATCAACACCCTCTTCTCCACCACCATTAAGAACTATGCCGATCACAAGCGCCGCCACCAGAAGCAGGTCGACCGAACCGTGGAGATTGAGATCACCAAGGCCGAGCTCGAGGAGAAGTTCTTCAAAGGTGCGACCCAGATACCCTCGTGTCGCGGGAGGGGTTACCACCGTGTTTCGATAGCTGATGAGTTGTCGATTTTCTAGTCCGCCTCACCGTCATTGATACCCCTGGATTCGGAGACTACGTGAACAACCGCGATTCATGGCAACCCATTATCGAGTTCTTGGATGACCAGCACGAGTCGTACATGCTCCAGGAGCAGCAGCCCCGCCGAACCGACAAGATCGACATGCGTGTTCACGCCTGCCTGTACTTCATCCGCCCCACCGGACACACCTTGAAGCCTCTCGATATCGAGGTGATGAAGCGCCTGAGCTCCCGTGTCAACTTGATCCCTGTGGTTGCCAAGGCTGATACCCTGAGCCACGCCGATCTGGTTCGCTACAAGGATAGAGTGAGTGGAAACAGATACAGGAGGAGAGTCGAGAATCCGGAACTAACAATTGATTAGATCCGCGCTGTCATTGAGGCCCAGGGCATCAAGATTTACTCCCCACCCGTGGAGGAGGACGATGAGCACGCTGCTTCTCACGCCCGCAGCCTCATGGCTGCCATGCCTTTCGCCGTCATCGGTTCCGAGAAGGACGTCAAGGCCAATGATGGCCGTGTTGTCAAGGGTCGTCAGTACGCTTGGGGTGTCGCCGAGGTGGAGAACGAGGACCACTGCGACTTCAAGAAGCTCCGCTCGATCCTGATCCGCACCCACATGCTCGACCTTATTCACACCACGGAAGAATCGCACTACGAGGCCTACCGTGCCCAGCAGATGGAAACCCGCAAGTTTGGCGAGGCCCGGCCACGCAAACTCGACAACCCCAAGTTCAAGGAGGAAGAGGAGACTCTGCGCAAGCGGTTCACCGAGCAGGTCAAGGTCGAGGAGCAGCGTTTCCGCCAGTGGGAGCAGAAGCTCATCTCAGAGCGCGACCGCCTCAACAAAGATCTCGAGGCTACTCATGCAGCGTATGTTCCGGACTATTGTTTAAGTAAATACATAGCTAACCGATCGCAGTATCAAATCCCTCGAGCAGGAGATCGAGGGTTTGCAGGGTTCCGGCACTCGCAGCCACGGACGTCGTTAAGATGTTGCAATTTTACCTGGAGTCGACCCGGATCGTTCAAAAGGGGAGTAGTCGAACTATGCTCTTGTTTTTTTCTTCTCTTTTGAGTACCCTATTGCTGTTCGCGCTTGGAAGCACCTTTGTCTGAGTGCTTGGTTCGTTTTGTTTGTTATATCCATTTACCGCTGGTAGCTAGCGATGGTGTGTCTACAACCTTGATAATAACTTCTTCTGTATTCCGTATGAAATACAGAATTAATTCGTTTGAAATAGATCTGAAGTAAAGTAGTAATTTTATGTATGTGGGGTGATCCAGGACTGAGTTGAAGCTCCGAGCTTCATCCCGCTCTGAACTCCAATTCCTCCTCTCCACCTCATCTTGACGGCCATGCCCCGGACAATATTCCCAACCAGGCATATCCACACTCTTAAAACACACAATGGTAAGCTGCCAATATCCAAGCGCCCTCCGAATCCCATATCCCCTCCAAACCCCATGCGCTAACATCCTTCCAGGCCCTGTCAACGCGGTAACCTTTTCAAGCTCCGGCGGCACCTATGTCCTCACAGGCTCCACAGACCGAGCAATACACCTTTCGCGCGCCATTCCAAACTCCAATAGCACAACAGCAGTCGAAACCACAACCCCTATCCAAAAATACGAAGCGCATGGCTACTCCGTCCTCGACATCGCCGTCGCAGCCGACAATGCACGCTTCGCCAGCGTAGGAGGCGACCGACAAGTCTTCCTCTGGGATGTGGAACAAGGCATAACAACAAAACGCTGGTCGGGCCATAACAACCGAGTCGAAGCCGTGCAATTTGCCGGCGATGGCGACTCAGTCGTAGTAACTGGTACTATTCCCGACTTTCTTCAGCAGTCCAGAACTAATATCGTCTAGGTAGCGCGGACACAACAATCAACCTTTGGGACACCCGATCCTCAAGCTACAAACCTATCCAAACCCTCACCGATGCAACCGACACCGTCTCTTCGCTACACGTGCATATGGGGAGTTACTCGATAGCAAGCGGTAGCTATGATGGACGCGCGCGGATCTACGACGTGCGCACGGGGAAGACGACCGTCGATGTACTCGCGCAGGCGGTTACGAGTGTGCGCTGCTCGAGCGATGGGAATGCGCTGCTTGTTTCCACGCTGGGTGGGAATATCCGTATGCTAGATCGGATGGATGGGAAGGTTCTTAATTCGTTTGGGGGTGAGAAGGGTGGGAAGTCGCGGTATTCGTATCGGAATTCGGAGCTGAGGGTGCGCTCTGTTTTTGCGATGGGGGATGCGGTTGTGCTTAGTGGGAGTGAGGAGGGAGGAGGTGACGGGGGGAAGGGGGCGGCGGCGTTTGCTTGGGATGTTGTTAAGGGGGAGGTTATCGCTGCTGTGCCTGTTGGGGAGAAGGTTAAGGCTGTTAGTTGTGTGGCGTGGAACGAGGGTGTTGGGGATTGGGCTGCTGGGTGCACTGATGGTAAGGACTTTGGTGTTTTTGAGGGCTGGATATCTGCTGACTGTTGTCTCAAGGTACCGTCAGAGTCTATGGATGAAGTTGGGCCATTTCCAGATGTCTCGGACAAGGCTGTCATGATAGGACTAGTTTCTCGTCTCGTATCGACGTCCAGCATCGCGGGTTTTGAACTACCATGCGCTACCTTATTCCACCGCCAAAACAGGAGAGAGTACGGGGCCCTGTGAGGACTAGCAACGTCTGTGGCTGTCTTGCTGCCCTCCAACAATTTCCATTCGATGTGAGGCTTGAATGCCCACAAGCACTACTCACTTGCACTCCGGGAATGCAGCTATTTTGGGCGAAGATGGGCACTTACAGGCTAGCAGGTATCTACTACGTCGGTCGAAGTGTTCGGCCTAGAGCAGGATAGCATAGAGATGTTTATAGGGGGCATTGGCTGTACATATAAATAATGAGATACGAAATTAATACGATGAACGTTTTTCTAGTAAGTTGTTGGGTTAAATTCAGGAGTACTGCTACAGGGATATATATCGATGGACTTAACGATTTATGAATATTTCCCCTGACCAAACAACCAAAGCCAGACCTAATAACAAGCAGTCATCATAGATAATGTCTTATATATATGAGACAAGCTATATAATCCAAAATCTCTGGAATTCGGAAGTTCAACCAACATGAAAAAGTAAAGACAACCAATGACCCAATGTGATATTCATACAAATATTAAAACAAGCAAAGCAAAACTTTTGACTAGACGCCACATCAATACATCAACATAAAAACATAAGTCGTACCAAAACACACCGGAACTCCGCGAACCATCAGAGCCTACAACTCCAACCGACCCTCACCAGACGACTGCATCTTCTCCTCCTCAAGAGCATCAATAGCCCTCCGAAGTTCATGCTCACCAACAATAATCGTACCCGCGCGCGCGGTACTCAAGAAACTAATCTCAACAGCATCAGCAACATCCACATCAGGCTGTAGATGATGCGTCGATGGCAACAAAGCATGCGCAGAGGTGGAAGATTTATCGATCGACAGCGCCTCAAGACGCGTACCGAACGAATCGAATGATCTAGGCACTGATCCGACTACACTACTAGCACCGCTATCGACGGTACCGAATGAGGGTGCGGTAGCAGCGTCTGCGAGACGACCAGCGACACCGCAGACGATACCTGATGCTTCGAGGGGGAGGTCGCGGAGGTCAAGGGTGATTGGGATGAGATGGTCTTCTTTTGAGCCTAGGAGGAGACCTGAGCCGTCTTCGTAGGAAGTTCCTTGGCGTGCGAAGCGGGGGAGGAGACGCTTCTCTATGAGTAGTGATGCTGCTGGGTCGAGGGATGCGAGGGTTAGGGAGAGAAAGCGGGGTTCATCGAGGAGGAGGACTGTTGTTAGGGGGTTGCGGAGGATGGACAGTGAGGATTCTTGAGTGTGGTATTCGTGGTGGGCTGCACACTGGACTAGACGTAGAGTGTGGTCTACTGATGGGGTGATTTGGTTTTTGCGGAGGTTGTTGAAGGTGCGGGTTTGGAGTTCGGCTAGAGTTGATGGTGGGGGTGTGCCTGGTGGGATGAGGTCGCTGAGTCTTCTTTCGATTGTTGGACTTAGGGGGTTGGTGATGAAGGCTGAGGTGTTGTTGAATTGGAAGCCCTTTTCTTCCAGGGTGGTTATTACGCTTGCTTTGCTTCTCTGGGGGACTATGATGTAGTCGGAGAAGTAGGTTGAGATGAAGAAGATGGAACTATGCAGAGTTTAGTTTGGGTGTGCTTTTTTTCATATATATGGGGAAGATGGTGGGGTTCAACATACATGCCTGCCAGGGCAAGTGGACTGGTCAATTCCAAGACTCGCTTGCCGGCCTCGAGGCCTTCGCCGAGGACTTGCATGGCTATATAGTCATTCTCGCTCACGACCAGACGGGATCGGAGTGAGGCATCTAACTGGTCGAGTTGGTCCATGACTGGAACGAAGTATTTATCGATTAGACGTCTAGGACACATGACAGAGACTTCGACTGGAGTGATGGAGACATTCATAAATGTAGGTGGTTTGTACGAGCCATGCTCAGAAGCATGTTCGAAATCATCAGATGTATCATCATCTGTTTCATCTTCCAGTGGAGGAGTTTCATCATAAATGAGTCTTAAAACAGACTTTATAAAGTAGGGATACAGCTCCAATGGGATGTGTACCAGTACAATCCGTTCCTCCTAGTCATTGGATTAGTAGATGTTGAGGGCAAATTGTATGAATGACTCACTAGGAAATGAACTTGTGCATCGATAAGAGCCATTTGATCCATAGTTTAAAGCTTTAGAGTAGAGAGAGCGCAGAAGGTAGATATAGGTGAACTATTACGCCATCGATGCTCAATGATGTTATTTGTAGTGAAGAAGCGCCATCAATGTCGTCAAAGATATTTTAAAAGGTTGACAAAGGAACTGTGGGCAACCCCTCTTCTTTTTGCTTCACTTTTTTTTTTTCCCACTTATCTTCCCCTCTGAGATATTTTGACTAAATCTCTTTTCATTTTTACTCCACAGCTTATCAGAACACCCCCAAGGCTGTTAGTCTAATTACGGACATACTAGTACCTGTTCCTGGGCTTGTGTGGGGGGGAACTCCTTAGCTTTCTTTTGGGCCGATGTTTTCCGACACTCTCCTATCAGACACATCTCCAATGCAGAGATGATACATCCAGGACATTCATCTGATTCGTCTAATTTATCATCTTTGCAAATCCCCCGCTTTTCTGGGGATTGGCTTCTGATAACTGAGATGCACTGGCCTCTCTGAAAAGCTGCATGTTTTTTCCTTTGCCGCTGTAGCAGATCGAAGAAATTTCAGTGCAACGTCACACCATACGATGTTGGGGACATCTTATCAGGTAGCATGAGGGAAATTCATACATCTGCATGAATAAAATAGTACCAAGTGTCTTATATTGACCTGGTTGGCCTTGTTTTTATCCACTTTCATGTATGTCTTCATATCAACCCGGAAATGCTAATGGACTTAGGGCTGTCGATCATATTCGGACTGGCGAAGACATCTATGTATCATCATTTTATTCACCATAATTGCATAATTGCGCTTTATACTCTGCTCACTCTGTTTACTCTGAATAACTAAGCCTTTCAACCTCGAGTATGTCCCCCCTTGCCTGGCAGCTCAGGAACAATTACCCAAATAGGAAGATTATCTACATTCCACCCTTCGGGACTCACTTAGGTCATTCTTCAACAGAAAACAAAGGCAACCCAAACCCTGAATTCAGTAATGCTCTAAATATATGCTCTACTATCTCAGTCCTTGAAGTCCATGAATGAAGGCACGGCCAATAACATCACACCCTCGCGAGTCTGGAAATGAGACCCGGTTCCGGCAGCATACCCAGGCCCCTGCATATCAACAGGACCTCTGTTTTTCTATCATCATGGTTAAAAGGCCAACTTTCCTGGTTTATTCCTTTGGACATCCTTCACAGCGGCCGACCTGCGCTGATTTCGACAACCACGTTCTTTTACATTCGTTATTCTTTTTTGCTTTTTAGTTGATCCGGCCTCGAATAGACTCTTTTAGAGGATTTTAGTATCTCTCTGATTTGAGCTGTCAATCGTTTTACTCATTCCATACTGCCACAATGGCAAAATTTAGTCTGTTGGCGCTGGCCACATTGGCTGGCGTAGCCGCAGCCAAGGATGTCTACCTGAAATGGAATGTCACTTGGGTTAATGCTTCCCCCGATGGCTTTGAGCGCCCCGTCATTGGTATCAATGGCCAATGGCCCTGCCCCCAAATTGATGTGGATTTGGGTGACCAACTGATCGTCGATGTCTACAACGGCCTTGGAAATGAGTCCACGGCTATCCACTGGCACGGAATACGCCAGCAAGGTAGTGGTGTTATGGATGGCGCGGTTGGAGTCACCCAGTGCCCAATTGCTCCCGGTTCGCACATGCAATATCACTTCGATGTAAGTAATCCCAGCGAGAGAGATGAATATCGCCTAATTGCAATATAGGTCAACCAAACTGGAACATACTGGTATCACTCGCACGATATGGGCCAGTACCCTGATGGATTCCGTGGTGCTCTAATTGTTCATGACCCTAACCCTCCTTTCCACTACGACGATGAGTTTACACTCACTTTGAGCGACTGGTATCATCAGCAGATGCCGGAACTGCTCAATACCTATCAGTCCACAGCCAATGCGGCGGCCCACGGCGCAGAGCCCCTCCCCAACTCGGCATTGATTAACGACTCAACCAACACCAAGATCAAGGTTCTGCCTAACAAGACGTATCTTGTTCACGTTATCTGTGTTGGAAACTGGCCTGGTCACTTCTGGGTGCTGGACGGCCACGAGATGACTGTCGTGGAGGTCGACGGTGTATATACCGAGCCCCGCCCAGCTGGAGACAAGTTCCTGCGTGTTGCGACTGGCCAGCGTATGAGTGTATTGATCAAAACCAAGCCTGATGCCAGCAGAAACTTTGCAATCTGGGATACTATGGATGTCAACATGATGTTTATCTTCGAAAATCGCACCATCCCGCAAAACTACAACCCCAATGCCACCGCCTGGTTGGTATACGACGAGGCCAAGCCGCTGCCTGCGCCTCCCGTCTTCCATCACATCGACTTCAATGATGACTTTGTGGATGATGTCAATTTGGTACCGCAAGATCGCGAGCCCTTGCTCCAGCCCGTGAACCACCAGATCATTCTGGATACCCGCCCCGCGCTGATCGACGGCGTTCCACGCTTCACTATCAATAACAAGACCTATACGCCCCCGAAGGTGCCCTCTCTTTATACTGCCAACACAGTTGGACCTGAGTTTGCCTCCAACCCTGCAGTATACGGCCAAGTAAACCCCTTCGTCGTGAAGTACGGCGACATTGTCGAAATCGTGATCAACAACTACCACGGCAACCTGCACCCATGGCACTTGCACGGCCACCAGTTCCAAGTTCTGCAGCGCACCCCAGTTGATGGAGGCTTCTACAAGGGGCTGACGAGCAATGTCTCCTCGACCCCTATCAGACGCGACACCATCATGGTCCAGAATAACGGCCACGCCGTCATCCGTTTCCGCGCAGATAACCCAGGTGTCTGGATGCTCCACTGCCACGTCGAATGGCACGTCGAGGCTGGTCTCATGGCCACCATCATCGAGGCCCCAGAGACATTCCCTAATAGCATACACGCTCCCCCGAAGAGTCATTACAATACCTGCAATGCCTACCCCCAACTCACCAGCGGTAATGCTGCGGGCAACGACGGTCTCGACATGACTGGGCTCGATACCACGGTTAGCTCTGGTAGCCACGGTGCTCTGTATACCGGCAAGAAGGGCTCCAAAAATCCCCCTGCAGGTCAATCTCATCAGTCAGCACAAGCAGCGGCGCCGAAGCCCTCTACCAAGCCTTCTGGCAAGCCCACTACGAAGCCATCCCTACCAGTCCTGCCAGTTCCACCAGCTCTACCAGCTCTACCATCCCTTCCTGTACAGGTTACCCGACCCAAGTTCCCGCACAATAGTTTCGACCAGTCGACGGTGCCTTCCCGACCAAACTACAACCCCGCCACCGCCGATTCCGAGAGCACCAAGGCTTTCTGGCCAGACTCTAACACGCACGAGACGAACATCTATGTTGAGAACCCCAACAAACCACACGATCACCATCTCACCGTCCACGAGGAGGCGACCAAGGGCCCGCGGCCAGAACAGAATACTTACAGTGGCTATGTCATCGATGGCAACCACAAGTATCCCATCCATAAGTCTGAGTGAGTACAGTCGCAAACTCAAATGTAAACATCAGCTAACTCTTCCTAGTCATGATCTGATAGTTGATCCAAAGGATTGGGAGTAATACAAGATATTGCGCTCGTATAGAGGTTGTAAAATGCTTGTATATTAGTTCTCTCTTACCTCCATGTCTGACATTACAGTCTACTAATTAATTCAATGGCAAGCCTCTTCTGGATACTTTCTCGTGTATATGACGTACACATAGATGCCTGCCACTTTCTGTCATGGACATCATATAGTCTTTTAATCTCAATCTCAACCTAATAATATGCCAACATGGTAGAAGCAGCATATCTCTCCCGATGATAGCCGCAAAGCTACCACTGGTACAACTGGGAATAACAGCTCCGTTTCCTAATCGAGTAGGAGTCTAATTATCACATCCTGACGATCTCAATAAACAAATACTTCTCATATATCCTCTTTCTCATAAATCCTCTATACTACTTATAAACCACACAGCCATCTCTATCCAAACCACCAAAATGTCAACCCATCTATTCTGCTGCACAACCATCCAACCGACAACCCTCCCAAACCCCGAACACGAGCTAACCTTCACCTCATTCACCAAATGGGCCAAATGGGCCCTAAGCACAATAATAGTCCTAACAGGAACCACCGATCCATCCGAAGCAAGCGTCTGCATCCAACTCGTCCGACAAGCCATCAACGGCCCAGAGTTTATCGGGTACTTCATCACAACAGATATTGAGAATTTCGAAGAAGTCACGGAAGACAAGATTCTAGATGCGAATTTCGTAAAGATGAATGAGTGAGTAAATGCACACCGACCTCCTTCTTACACCTCCTTTTATCTTGCAATATCCTGAATATCATATATTGAGCCCTGTCACAGAGGACAAAGCTTCCGCTGCACCGAACACAATGAAATCTTCGATCTAAACCTCTACGAACCGAGTACAGGGAGTACACGTCATTGGCGGAGTATTGCGAAACCACTCAAGCAGATTGAGAATGCGTTGAAGAATAAAATGTCCGGATCTGGATCGCGGTCAGATGGTTCAAGTATGAAGTCTGCGGGGTCTGGTAGAAGTAGTTCAGGGTATGGGTATGGATCTGGGATGGGATATGGATCTGGATGGGGATCTCATTTGGGATCTGGGTGGGGGTTGGATTGGGGGACTGGGAGTTCGAATGGGGCTTATAATAATGCGGCTTTGACTACGACTACGGTTGGGTGTAGTGATTGTGATAGTGATGGGCGGGATCTGGGTCGAGATCAAGATCAAAGAAAAGACCAAGACCAAGACCAAGACCAAGATCAAGATCAAGACCAAGACCAAGACCAAGACCAAGACCAAGATCAACATCCTGAGATAACTCGTGAGGATTGGACTGAATATACCGACCAAGACGGCGATCAGACTATTCCGTCTTCGCCTATGCTCGGTACTCAAATGACTCAAGAAGAGACAGAGCCATACTCTTTTGGGACGCAGGTTACTTTGCGCGAAGAAGATGTGAGCCAGAGCTATTTGAATATTGAGGACTATGGTTGTTATTATCCTGACCGGTCTTCTGACGACTATGGTAGCTATGACTGCGGAGGGGACAATGATGTGTTGTATCAGGATTGTGGAGATTATGGAGATGGTGGAGGTTGTGACGTCTGAATAGCTAGTTCTTGATCCGATGTTTTGCTATATTGCTTTTCTTTTGCTCTTCATATAATGAAGATTCTGATAGATGTGGAGTTTGAGGAAAGACCAGTCCTGGAATGAATTCTCAGGGATTTGCACACTAATTAGGTATCGTGGCTTCATTCCAGTATGTACATCAAATGGAAAATGAGAAGTCATTCGATAGGCCTAGCCAAACTCGTGTGGAATAGGATTGTATCCCCCATATTCATGAAAGAAATGAATTATCCGTAGAAATGAAGAATTTGAAATGTAGACGAAGTTTGACCAAGTACGCTTTTAGCCTTCAGTGCGCGAATACGAATACGAAAAGAAGTTATAATAAGGATATATCTACTCCCCCTTTTATTATATATTGTGTCTTGTAACAAGCTTATTAGGTCTATGCTAAAATAGCTTATATTACCGTGCGGGTGTTTATTGGGTACGCATGGTCTCCATAGTTGTGAGTATATTAATTCTAGAACTATCCGGAGTAGAGTCAATATAGATACCAGTCTAGCCTCACTTCTTGGGGCTCGTTTTAAGATAAAGCTCTTAAGTACGATATTGCTCAGGCAGGATTGCCTTCACCCCAGGCATTGTATGTAACAGACTGCAGCTAGCATATTGTTCTGGATCCCTTTTTCTCCGATTTGAGACCGACAACGTTAGTCTGTTTCAGAAGACCTCATTTGAAACAACCAAATCCAATCATTCTTCCCATACCTTAAATGCACGTCCACAGTTAAACTGTATGCAATGGAGAATTTGTACAATGGGGAAATTATCAAACGGAGAAATTATAGGTTGGTGGAGTGTCGAGATGGAATTATCCGCTTTATGTTCCCCCTTAACTAGTTAATATTTCACTGTTTTATTATATAAAGCCGCTATCCTCATCCATAATTTGATCATTCAACATTGGATCAACTTAATATATCATGTCTCTCAAAAACCTTGCCCTCCTCGCCTTCCTCGGCCTTGTCAATGCTCAAGACAAGATCGGATTTGGTCCATACTTCTCCCTCGGCCCTACCTCGTCATGGATCCGTGAAGCCAAGACAACCCTTGTTCTTCCCGAGGTCCCGAGCCCTCAGAAAGACCGTCTTGCTCTGTGGCCCGGTATGGGAACAAGCGGTGGTGATCTGATCCAGGCTCTTGCCGTTTCTTTCTCGGACCCTGCCGCGTGAGTGAAAAATTGTTACAAGTATATATAATTTAAACTGACTCGCGCAGAAACTGTGGCGCAACAGCTGGACAATGGTGCACATGGGCTAGTACCCTTCAAGGCACCCAGCTGGGCGGAAAGCAGGTCCCTGCCAATGCTGGCGATGAGGTTACAATGCATTGTAAGTTTTGGTTACTGCGACTTATGAACGCAAGCTAATCATTCTGTAGACAAGTACAATGATGCTACCAGCAAGTTTGACCAGACTGTCTCAATTAACGGGGAGGTTGTGTCGACACTTTCAACTAGTAAGTTCTTGCCTCTTCATGCCAGTCTCCTGCTAATAATTTTTCCAAGGTTCTGGCCAGGCACAGGGCTGGGGTACCGCTGTCGAATGCCAAGATGATGCCTGCAAGGGTACCGCTGCTGCACATGGTGAGTTGGCGTTTATATCTCCCAGTAATTAAATACTAATTGTTATAGAATACACCGACACTACAATCATCCTGGACGCTGCCGATTCTTCCTTCGGAAACACTCTGGCTATCAATGAAGCCACTTCTTCTGGTCTGAAGACCACTGACAACGGAAAGACTTGGACCGTGTCTACCATCAATGTTCAGGCTCACACCTACAACCTGTAAGCATAGTTCTCAGTCCATATACAACATACTCTAGAAAGAAATTTGTGCATGTCACACATTAGAGTACTTTTCAACAAGCAATATAAACGGCACTTAACAGTCAAAAAAAGCACCTTCTAATACCTAGTGACCTTGACAGCCCTAGGGAGGGGATGTGTAGTATCTAACTAGTTACAGTTGCGCAGTGTGGTGCCTGAGTACGTCAGGCACCGGCCCATATCAGGTTAGCCCGAGAGTTCTAGGCTTCTCCAAAACAAACAACTCTCTCCCTTCAACACTTCTGAGTCTACATAGCCTCAACGAGTACTAAGGTAGCACCAAGGCCATAACCTGACGCTTAACTGTCAATATAAGCTCTTTTATTCACTTTCATACCTTTACTCTTTTCAACTTCACACCATTTCATCATAAATAGTATAAATACTGAACCACGGCTTGCGATAATACATCTTAACTATTTCCAACCCTACGCAACACTGTAGGGAGTTCCCCAGCGCGCTCGCCATCGCCAATGGCAGATGAATCATTTCCGTGGCCGCGAAGTCGTGCACCTGTTTATTAAGACCTTGCAGTAGCTAGATATAGCCCATAGAATTATCGCTACGCCACACGGCACAACAAAGTCCACAAACAATAAAAATCAAGTGAAATAAACTCCGGGACTATATCAAACTATACCAAGCTATCCCCGCAAAGGCAAAATGTTCAAGGATATCTAGTCAATACCCTTGAAAACCTCATCAAAGCGCAACTCATTCCAGCGCACATTTGGCTTCAAACCAGCAAACTTCCAGATACCATTGACCTTGCGGTAGTAATGCTCATTCGTAGCGTGAGAGTGACCACGCAGCTTGACCGTCTCCAAGGCCTCAGTCTCATAGACCTGGTGCGCGGCACGCAGCTGGTGGTGACCAATAACCTCAGTGTCAGATATCTTCTCCCACCATGTCTGGCCAAGTAGATGTTGGGTTTTGATAGTCTTGTCACCGAGGAAGCCGGGGTGGGTGATCATAGCCATGTAGTCGTCAGCGGCCATGTTATCCCATTTTTTCAGTCCGATCTTGGTGTAGTCGACCTTCAGGGTTGGGGCGATGATGCTGCGCAGACGGTCCCAGTCCTAGAACACTGTTAGTCCAAATGTTGGATTGAAGTTGAAGGGTTTAGAATGCGTACCTTTGCATCATAGCTGTCTGCCCAGTCGAAAACAAGCTTCGATAGGATGAGGTAGTCTGTTTATGTTGGTACAAGCAGGATACTGAAGGTGGGGTGAAACAGACCTTGGAAGGAGATGTCCAAGTTGGGCTCACTGGTGGTGTTCGTTACAGCAGGAGACATGATCATCCAGCGATACTTGATTTTCTGTGTATGTTTGAGCTCTGATTATTGCAAGGCGCGCTGTGCGAGTATATTCAAGAAGATCATTTCCAACGAACTTCCCTGAAAGTAACATTCCCCAGATCTGCCCAGCATATTTCCCATGCACGGGAACCCAACAATGCAACGCTTCCGATGTGACAGATGGAGACAACCCCTCATGGCCTTCCGCATGCGGTATGAATTAAAGCCAAGACACTTTTGAGTCATTATTCGAAAGCAGCTACTCTGTTTTAGGATCTGATGTTGATTCTGGGGCGCCATTCTGATATGTTACCGACAAATTCGGAAACAAAGCCCAGCCTCTACAATAAGGATGTACGATGAAGCCAAGCCACCTACCTGATTCCAGCCAGGTCCTGGTGTTATTCAAAATACCAGATTCCCAATATTAGACTACGATTCCCACTCCCAGCTCGATTCCACACCCACTCATTTACAGCCTTCACTCCTCACATCCATAATCACAAAAATGGTCAACCCAAACCCCAACTCCCACCTCGAGCTCGCCGGCAAAGTCGCCTTAGTGACCGGTGGTGGCCGAGGCATCGGAGCTGGCATTGCGCTAGAGCTAGCGAAGAAGGGAGCAAACGTAGCGATCAACTACGCCAGCAGTTCTAAGACTGCCGATGGAGTAGTCCAAGAAATCCAAGCGCAAGGTGTCCACGGCGCCGCATTCCAAGCCAACCTGACAAACGTCGACGAGATCGCAGAGCTCTTCCGCCAGGTCGTCTCACACTTCGGACAGCTAGACATTGTCGTGTCGAACGCTGGAACGGAGAAGTTCGTCCCGTTGTCCGAGACGACACTTGACGACTTCAATGCAGTATTCGACCTCAACACTCGGGCGCAGTTCTTCGTCGCGAAGAACGCCTACGATCATATCCAGCCCGGCGGACGTGTGGTGCTGATGTCATCTATTGCGGCGGGTCTTGGTGTCCCCGGTCACTCACTGTATGCGGGCAGCAAGAGCGCTGTGGAGGGTTTTACTCGTTGTTTTGCTGCGGACTTTGGCAAGAAGAGGGCTACTGTTAATGCGATTGCTCCTGCTGGTGTGAAGAGTGATATGTGGTTGAGCAACGCGTGGCGTTATGCGCCTGGCTGTGACCAGAACTCGTCAATTGAGGAGATTGAGCAGGCTCTTGCTAATGGTAGTCCCCTTGGACGCTGTGGTGTGCCTGCGGATATTGGCCGCATTGTGGCATTCTTGGCCAGCCCTGCTGGAGAATGGATCAACGGTGAGTGCTGGAATGTTGATTTACCCTTTGGAATATTGCTAATTTATTGCAGGTCAAATTTTGCCTTGCAATGGTGGAGCTAATATCTAATTTACCTGTAATTAGAGATGTTGGATGTGTTTTGTATTTGGGGTCATTAGAGAAGACTCGGGAACTATGTATACGACCAGGGCCTATTACCGTTTGAACCAGGCGTTGTCCTTAGTAAAATATCAGGTTTTATGTTATTTTCCATAGAATTAACATGAATGACACTTCATTGACAATATTCTACCATTTGAGCACAAGTGTTCATTTCAGACCTCCTTCGAGTACCAACTTAGGGCTAGCAATGACGAAGCCGACCCCAGAAATGCCAGCCGGGAAGCCGACAAGCCGAGTACCGAGAGGGTAATCGAGTTCTGAGACATCTAAGAATGTAATCTGGATTCATTTTCCTTGCTATCACCCCCCGCATCCGGAAATCTTCGAAGCAACCCCATGTCCTGCCAAGATAACAATCGGGAGTTATATGCCGATCAGGTCTCATCTAGGGAATGTGGCAACAGTGGACTACTGTTTTCATCACAATGGACATCATCTGACTTGGCTTTTTTACCGTAATAGATGCTACCAGCGAATACAGGGGATGGCAAATCAATTAGAAAAGACCGGAAGATGTCTCGAATTCGTAGTTCAATAAAGCAGATCACTTACTAGCTAATATCAAACCAATCTACTTCATATACACCTCTCAACATGGTTCCTTGGATTCTCGGAGACAAGTTCGACACTGTCTATCCTCACCAGGGATCAATCAAGCTCCTATGGGAGTCAAAGTGGAAATTCTGCGTATGTCTCTTCACAGTAAGAAAAGATCCAGAAAACTAACAATATTCAACCTACCAGGCCACAAAATCCATCTACCCATTCCACGATGGATCACTGGAAGACTTCGAGCCCATCTTCCAAAAGCTCATCGCTGTAAGCATCCCCAAACACAACATATCAACTCTCCCACTAACACCAATAGGAAAACATCAACGACGCAAACACAGACGCCTACACCGAAGCCTTCCTCCCAGTAGCAACAGCTCTAGAGAAAGAAGCAAGCAAAGCCCTCAACAACGGCCACCTCAGCCATGCAGCCGACCTCTACCGCCGCGCAGCAGTCGTCCTCCGCATCTCTCGCTTCCCCTACGTAAGCCCCTCAACCCGCTCCGAGACATCCATCAAGCGAGCCGCCTTCGAGCGCCAGAAACAAATCTACCTAAAAGCCGCCTCGCTATGGAAACCCATCATTACAGAGGAAGTGATTCCACACACACACCGCGCCGGCCGCGACGGCCCCGAAATCCCACTATACATCCGACTTCCCGAGGAAGCGAGCGCCAGCAACCCCGTCCCCGCCGTGCTGCTCATGACTGGTCTTGACGGCTACAGACCCGATAACAGCCAGCGCACGCATGAGATCATCAATCGTGGCTGGGCGACGGTTGTCGTTGAGATTCCCGGTACGGCAGACTCGCCTGCGGATCCGGCGGACCCTGAGTCGGCGGATAGACTGTGGAACAGCGTGCTTGATTACATGAATCGGCGGCCGGAGTTTGATATGTCGCGGGTTGCGGCTTGGGGGCTTAGCGCGGGTGGCTTCTATGCTATTCGGGCGGCTTGTACCCACCGTGAGCGTCTTGTGGGATGCGTTGCTCATGGACCTGGGGCGCACTTTGTTTTTGATCCTGAGTGGTTGGCTAAGGCGAATGATCATGAGTATCCGTTCCAGTGAGTTTTGATTTGGGTCTTGTTTTTGTGGTGGTGTACTAACTATTTGCTAGTCTTACTTCCGCTATGGCAGAGAAGTATGGTTACGACAATGAGGAGGAGTTTGTGAAGAATGCTCAGAAGAAGTTCTCGCTTGTGGAGACTGGTGTTCTTGATCAGGATAACTGTCGATTGCTTCTACTCAACGTATGTATTCTTGTTTAGATGTGGTGAGAAAGGAAAACAAAGCTGATTGTTTCTAGGGCGTGGATGACGGTGTTGTCCCGATTGAAGACTGCATGGTTACTCTCAGACATGGCGGCCCTAAGGAAAGTCGGTTCTTCGAGAACAGGGTACACATGGGATACCCTGACAGTCTACCTGTGGCTTACAAGTGGCTGGAGAGCGTGCTGTCTCCTAATACGAAGGAGATGAAGAACTGAGTGAGCGTTGAGTTGTTGATGTACTCTGCTTTAGATAGTCAGTTGTTGAAAATTGAATGTTAATCCTACGTATACTTGCGTGAATTTGATTTTACATGGGCTACATAAGCTGGAAGGTCTACAATTTTAGCACTTTCTTCCAAGGTTAGACATAAATGTGACGAAACAATAGTCAAAGGGTAGGCAGAAGTGTCTATTGAGCAGGCCTAAGGCAGCTATACAAACGGTCCATTTTAGGAAGGTACGTGGGACTATAAAAGGATTCCTCCCACCTTTCTTCCTCTTCTCTTCTTCCTCTCCCCAATCCTCCCTGTCTCACCGTAGCCCACCGAGGCAGCGCAGAGGGTGGTCCTCGAAAGACATCCACACCAAGTTGTTGAGGCCTTCGAAGGTCCGAATACAAATCAAACTGCCAGTTCTCGTGCGAGTCCTGATAAGCTGGTGACTGAACTCTTGGAGTTCAGTAGTCACTGACAGATCCCACGGAATACATGAATAGGGGGTGTTTCACCCCTATCACTCTTATCCTCTTCACTCGGATGTATGTAGCCATCCATGAATGTACTTAGTTACCCAAATACATTCTCTTAAGACGTGTGTCTCGTCATTATATTATTTCTACAAAAGCTGTCACATTGTACACGTTCATTAGAAAGATAAAAAACTAAATCAACATGATTTTATTGACTGTAGATAAAACGTAATCTGCCATTTCACACAAGCAAGCCCGATTTACTCGCTTCCATTCGATTTTTTGTGAACAAGATAGTAGGAATTACACTGCCAGAAACGCCCGCAATGCATTGAGGATATTTTTCCGATGCCCGTGAGAAGATCACGAGAGAACATAGACACATATGGAAGATTAATAAAAGCGGGTTTATTGATCTTTATTGATCACGAGAGAACATCGTCACATATGCAAGATTAATAAACACGGACTTATTCGTCGTCGACTCTCGGGCGTTTCGACTTGCGATCATCAACTTCAGCTTCCTGAATTCCATAACGCTTCTGGCCCGAAGTCACATCGGCAATCATGTTGTCAATGCCAAATGGATCGGCAGTGTCCTTCTCGAACTGCACAGGACCTTGGCGCTCCTATAACACAACTTATTAGCGATGAAAAGAAACATATGTTAGATGGAAACTTACCTCGGCTTCAGCAGCGCCACGGAATCCCTCCTTGGCGCGACCCAGGACCTCGAATCGCTTAGTCTTTTCAAGCTTGCTCATCTCGCCTTCGCCTGCATCAACGTCATCGACATCAGCTTGGGCACGTGGACGATAGATGCTGTTGATGGCGTCCTGCGCAGCGAACAACGGCTTGTCGTAAGGGTTATCTTCATTGAAACCAGCCTGCATGCCACTGGTCTGGTTGAACAAACGCGAATCCCACATAGATTCAGAGCTCTGTGTAGGCTTGGCGAGACCAAGCGCAACCTTCTCGGAGATATCACGGTTCTGTTCTCGGGCCATGGCTTGAATGCGGCGCTCTGTGCCCATGCGAGACTGGCGCAGTTGTCGCTCATCTTCGCGTCGGCGC